AGTCTATAGAACACAGCTCTTCCCCTGTCCCAGTGATCTCTACCCTCCCACTAGGGCCTTGTCACACGGCTCTGGTGGCTGCTGACTGAAGAAACACACCTGGCATTCAAGAGGTACAGAACAAACACTCACACAGTGGAAGTTCTGAGTGAGCACTGAGTGAAGGAAGCAACGATGACACTCTTTCTCCTCAGCAAAGCAGAGCCAGAACTCCTGTGAGTTTTGTTTTGCTGTGTTTGAGAAGAGACTGTGAACACCATGTGTGGACACCTTGGGAGGTGTTCTTCACACATTTCTAGTATTCCTGGAGGAGCCTTTGAAGAATGTACTGTTAGCTCCATTTTCCAGATGGGAGAACTGAGAGCCTATGAGACCGTGGGACAAGACCAGGTTTCATCCAGGTCAAGGGGGAGATGAAATGGGTCCTGAGCTCTGGAGATGAGCAATACCATGATTGGATGACCTGCAAGGAGCTCATCTTCAGATGTGGCTACTCTAGTCACTTTCTGTGGCTTTTGAGAACATCAAAATCTCCAGATCAGAGCTTATTTGGAAGGTGGATGGGGGAGGTTCAGCTGGGCAGCTCCTAGAAGGAACTGGATATGCCTTGTGCCCCAGAAAGCTCTTTGGGGGCCAGGCAATGGCTGATCTGGCTAAGCTGGCCCTGGACACAGTCACCCTGTACAACCTGGGACCAATCAGCTAGCTATGCCCTCTGCCCCTCTGGGCAGACCCTTGTTTGGTTCCTGTCCCCAGATCAGTGACGGAAGTGGTGGCATGACACCACAAAACAAGTCCATCTGCTCTAGCTGCTGAGAGATGTTTGCATCTTACTGCATCCTGAAAACGTGTGGTCCATCACTTAACTCCTAACCAAGGAGGAAGAAGAGAGCCAGAGCCTCTGATGCTAGCTAACACAGTCGGCTTCCTTGAGAGAAAAGAAGGCCATCTCTCCCGGGCAGTCTCATCCTGAGGCATTTTGCAACCTTTATCTGGTGTTACATGATTTGCTGTCAAAAACTTGCCCACAGTGGCCAGGGGCACCCAGGGGTGGTCCAGGGAATAAATGAGCACAACAGAAAGGCCATGGCCTTTGTGTTAGGAGCCTTGAGAGCAGGTCCTGGCCCCATTCATAGATTACTTTATGCCATGGCTTCCTCATTTAAAAAATGAATACAACAAAATCATCCATACAGGTTTGCACTGGAGACGAAATCAAATAACCTTATAAAGGCTCTCTGGGGGTTCAGTTCACATAAGTCATAAGGTCACTTGGTTTCTTTGTTCCCAAGAGGTCATAGTACCCAATGGATCAAGGTCAGCTCTGAGTTTTGCAAGCAGTCCTCTGTCACCTGGCTGGAGAGACTGGAGTCCAAGAGATGGGACACAGGGCTACCAGGCCAGAGGCTGTCACAGAAAGTGCTGTGCAGCGGAAATGATTGACATTCACCCCCAGAATTCTGATTCTGGCAGCTCTGAGCACCCCGGTCAGCTGTGTCCTGTTCCACATATCATGCCCACCACATCCTTTGGTGACCATGACAACGTGATAATCCATGTCCTATGATTTTGCCCTGACCCCCCGCACACTTTATAGGTGAGAAAACTAAGACAGGTCAAGATCTGGTCACAGTTTTATTCTAAATCATTGCCAAACAGAGGCTCTTTTTGGCCATGGACCTAGGGAGCTGCTACCCTCCTGGGGAGGCACCAGAGGGAGGTCAAAGCTAGCTTAGCCTGGCTGGAAGCTTGCTGCTGAGTTGAGTTAATGAGTGCAGGGCAAGCTAGGGACGTGGGGGGGCAGCGGACTCAGGAGAAAGGTAGAGCTAGTATGGATGAGCTTTCTGGTGGGGCCCAATATATTGGCTCCTCACAACAGTCATGCACAGACCTGGATTCGCCAAAGTCACTCCATTCTTTTCTAGTCACAACCTGGAAAGTAAGATTCAGCTGGAGGCTAGTGGTGAGGACAGATGACCTTCTGGCTGATTTAATGTGTTGCCCCTCCATGGAGGGCCAAGGGCTCCTAACCTCTAGACTCTTAGTATCTTCCCCGATGCCAATGCCTCGTCTCCCTTCCCAATATCCTGTGTCCAGCCTGTTCTTTCCAGGGCCGAGCAGCTGCAGAAGAGGTAGGTCCTGGCCTCTTAATCTCTGCACAAGCAGCAAGCATCCCTGCTTCCCTTTATCCACACTGGGCAGGGAATCTCTGTGAAAGCATCCCTGCTTCTCCTTATCCACACTGGGCAGGTAATCTCCGTGCAAGCATCCCTGCTTCCCCTGCCTCCACACTGGGCAGGGAATCTCCGTGAAAGCATCCCTGCTTCCCCTTATCCACACTGGGCAGGGAATCTCCATGCAAGCATCCCTGCTTCCCCTGCCTCCACACTGGGCAGGGAATCTCTGTGCAAGCATCCCTGCTTCCCCTTATCCACACTGGGCAGGGAATCTCCGTGCAAGCATCCCTGCTTCCCCTGCCTCCACACTGGGCAGGTAATCTCTGTGCAAGCATCCCTGCTTCCCCTTTATCCACACTGGGCAGGTAATCTCCGTGCAAGCATCCCTGCTTCCCCTGCCTCCACACTGGGCAGGTACCTGGGGTCTGGAGAAGTGCTCCCTTAGATAGACTGCTGCCTCGTTATAAATCTTCCCTGCTGTTGCACCCCAGGGTCAGGGACACAGAGGTCATGCCCTCATTAGGGAAATGGTGGCTCTCAGTGGCTGTAGAGAGGGAGCCCTGCAGGGGGTTTAGTTTAGAATCAGTGGTTGGTTAACTGTGAGTGGAGTGGCTTCTCTCTAGCCTTTTGCTGGATGTCAAGTAGAGTTCTCCACCATTCATCCCCTGGTATGTACTCAATAGGATCGTGTGCACAGTCACCAAGATGATTTCTAGAATATTCACAGCAACACTGGAACTACCCCAATGGCCGTTCACAGTAGAATGGATTAATCAAAGTGTGGTTTATTCACCAGTGCCATAAAATCCAGCTAAGATGGCATCAATGCAACACCAAACAAAGGCAATCAGACAGGGAAGACAAGCCAAGGCAGCAGGGCCTTCTGTGTGTTTCAGCGGGGGTGGGGGGTTGAGCCTGGGGGTGGGGGAGGTGGATTTGGGGTAGAAGCTCTCTACTCTTCTGTAGACCTACTCTTCTGGGGACCTAGGGATTAGCTGTGCCCTGGTTTCTGACCCCGGGGCTGCGTGTGAGGTGTGTTGGGTGAAACGAAGGCACTCGGGTGTCTATTTCTGATGAGCACACTTTCTGTGTGTAATCAGCTATACCAGGTAAAAAGAAGCCTCCCCCAGACAGGTTCTTGAGTCGAAAGAGCAGAGTTACAAAGGATGAGCACAGCTGCAGCCTGGGCCGCTGGGCCCACAGGACCTCAGCTACCAGCTCGCCTTGGTCTCCCGTTCCCTGGGCTTCCCTGACCCTTAGTGCTTGCCATCCCTCTCTAGAGGAGCCACCAGAGTGGGATGGTCTCCGCCATTTAGTTGGGGACTGTATTTGATGATGGTGCCAAGAGATGTAAAAGCCGAGGTCGTAGACCAGGCGTTCCTGACTTCCTCAACGACCCACTCCTTTTTCTGGAGACAGCTAAATCTCACAATCCACGCATGCTCAGTCTGTCCTATCTTGTCAAGATGGTGCCACACATCCATAGCTATCAGGAGATCAAATTTCAGAGTCTGCTGGACATGTGCCACGTGGATAAGACAGTCCAGTCAGAACACCGGAGGCGAAACCGTCACTTGTCAAGGATCCTCTGATGACTTTCTTGCCTCTCCCTTTATCCCCGCTTGGCCTGTAGAGGAAACCTCCAGTCACTCCTGTGCCTGTTTCTCTTTCATTTCTGTTGCTACGGTAAAGTGCCCAGACAAAAACCAAAAAACATCTTGGGGGAGAAACATTTCTTTGCTTTATCATTCCAGGTTGCAGTCCCTGTATCAAAGAAGTCCCGGTGTCAAGGACTTAAAACAGCCTCAATACACACAGTCACGAGCCTAGAGTACGTGCGTGTTCTCTTGCCTGCTTGTTTGGACCCAGCTCTGGTTTCCTGCTCACACACAGTTCAGGAGCCCCTGCTTCCCCTGGGCTGAGTCTTCTCACACCGATTAACTTAGGACATGCCCCCCACAACATGCCCACAGGTCAACCCAGTGTTAGCAAGCCTCTGTGGTTCTAGGCTGTCAAGCTGACAGTTAAAGCTGACCATCACAGCTCCCAACCCCAAGATTCCAGGAAGTGAAGGCAGACTCTTTTCTGGAAGAAAAGTGGGTTTGTACACTCTTTCTAGCTCTGTGACTCTGATGGCTATTTCTCTGTGCCTTAGTTTCCTCTCCTGGAACATGGGGCAATAGTGGCTTTAATAGAGATTAGGTGAAAATCCAGAGTCAACTAAAAATAATACATTATTACATGCCACATAAACACGTGCAGTAACTCTTGGTATAAGGCCTAAGCAGTGGCTGTTATTGAAACCTGCTGAGGACACCGAGCTCTGTCTGTGTCCTGATTGCCCTTCCAAAATGCCACTCTACAGTTTCTTATTGATCACCTGCCTCCTTCATGCCTGACATGCTCAGTGGGTCATAGTTGTTCTCTCTGACAGCAGCAACTGTTCTAAGGTGCCAGGGATACCCCTAACCCTACCTCTCCTGTCACCCTCCCCAATCAGACCAAGATCTCCTGTCCCCAGCTAACTGCTGAGGGTCCCAGCTTTCCAGGTGGCTTAAAGCTCTCCTCCTCATGCCTCTGCTCTGGGTGGGTTTCCCTTTGTCTCTGGCCACTATCCTAAGGAGCAGGGACAACCTCACCCATCTCAGGTTCAGTGAGCCACAGCCTGGCACTAGAGGTGCCACCAGGAGGACAAGGGCAGTTAATCTTGTCTTTAGTTAGCAGTCACAGTGGGAGATGGGCCCAGGGGTGACCTCACAGATGGCAGCCTGCTCTGTGCTGGAAGATAAATTGAGAGCATACAGGGCTGTCAAGGGCGGTGTCCATGCTGGTTCTTGAAGCTGCACTGCATCCAGGTACCACAGCGTCCAGTCCAGGCCTTCCTTAGGACAAAGGACGCTGGCCAGAATGTAGGTGGCCCCCTAGGCTGGCTTCCCCAGCCAGATGCTCTGGGAGGAAGGAGCTCAGCATTCATTAAGCCCTACCCAGAGCACCTAAGACATAATAATGCCTATTGCTAGCATATGAAGCTGCTGCCTTTGTAGGAGGGGCGACTTGCATAAGACCTGTTCATCAACTTTCTACCATGGGTGGAAGAGGTCAGAAGGGAGCAGGAATGGAGCATTACCTTCCCTTGTGGTTAGCTACTCAAAGTTTGCTCTTGTCAAGTAAATAAGCCCCTACCCAATGCACACAAGAGGCTGTAATTAAAAGTAAGGGTTTGGGGACAGAGAGAGACTGAGAGAGCAGAGGGAGGATTGGGAAGGAAAATAATTTGGTGGAAAGGGAAAGGGATAAGGCAGGGTGGGGGGACTTTGGTCAAAGAACATTATATATATATGTATGTATACATACACACACACATACACACACACACATACACACACACACACACCACACACACACATACACACACACATACACACATACACACACATACACACACATACACACACATACACACACACACATACACACACATACACACACATACACACACACATACACACACACACACCACACACACACATACACACACATACACACACACATACACACACACATACACACACATACACACACACACCACACACACACACATACACACACACACATACACACACACACCACATACACACACACATACACACACACCACACACACACACATACACACACATACACACACATACACACACATACACACACATACACACACATACACACACACATACACACATACACACACATACACACACATACACACATACACACACATGCACACACACATACACACACACCACACACACACACCACACACACACATACACACACATACACACATACACACACATACACACACACCACACACATACACGCACACACACACATACACACACATACACGCACACACACAGACACACACACATACACACACATACACACATACACACACACATACACACATACACACACACCACACACACATACACACACATACACACATACACACACATACACACCCACATACACACACATACACACATACACACACATACACACACATACACACACATACACACACATACACACATATACACACACATACACACACATACACACATACACATACACACATACACACACATACACACACATACACACATACACACACACTCACACATACACACACACATACACACATACACATACACACATACACATACACACATACACACACATACACACATACACACACATACACACACACATACACACATACACACACACACATACACACACACACACCACATACACACACACATACACACACACACACCACACACACACACATACACACATACACACACACACTCACTCACACATACACACACACACACATACACAATGAAATAGCCTCTTCATATGGATCATTGTATCAACCTATTGTATTCTCATGATAAATATGATTGATATGACACAGATCACTTCATAAAGTCACAGAAAAAAATGAAGTTCATGCTGGTACTGTGCCCATTTTAGAGATCAGTAAGTCAAATCCCAGAAAGACACCTTGTCAAATACCAACCAAAGGGCAAATCCAGGATTCAAACCCAGACCGCCTGGTGTGGGGTTCAGTTTCAAAGCCAGAGTGATGAGGCAGCTGAGCATGCTCATTTCAACCCCTTTCTGCATGTGGGAGCCTGCTGCATGGGGGAACCATTTTGTTCCTGTGATCCCTTCAGAGCCTGGGCCTGTGGCTGTCCCAGAATGAGTCAGGGGGTCGTGTCACCTGCTGTCACCCAGACCTCACTTCTCAGCGATGAGATGGTTGCCTTTGTTTTCCTGCAGGCTTCTGGGATCTAGCTTGCCACTATGAACTGAGAGGATGTGAGAAGAGACGTCTGGGACCATTGCAACCATTGCTGTTTTACAGATGATGGTGCGGAGGGGGGGTATCATGCCACCTGGATGGATACCAGCCCCTAGGTCAGCTATCCCTGCTCAGATTGGCTGTCCTGTGTTACCCAGAGATGGGCATGTACAGGCTGGGCTCTGTACCCAGTTCCCTGGAGGCTGACAGGCTGAGAGACGGTGAAGTCTAGCTGCTGTAAGCCACGGACTTTAAGGCATCCTAGAAAACCGCTTAGCGTTAAGTGTTTTAGAGTGAGACAGAGTGAGTGTCTGTCTCTGCCTTCTTCCTCATGTCCTACTTGCTTCTGCACAACACTCAGCATTCGGGGAAGGCAGGGAACACTCATGTATTCAGCGATTTAGTCTTTTCCCAAGCCATGGAAGCCTCACAGAGCAGGAGCCTTCAACACCTGCTCCTCCTCCTCTGCCTTGCCTAAAACAGCATCCAGCACACAGTAGGTACTCAGTAAAAATCATGGAATAACCTTATGGATCAAAAAACAAGAGCACCTCCCTTGCAGGAGAGGAAAACCTCCAGCTCACAATTCCCAGAGGCTCCTCTTTGTAGCCGGGTCTCTCCTGTCCATCCTCCTGCACTTGGATGTTTGATGTGGTATTGTTTGTTTTCAAGGTCGTCCTCAAAGGCTGCCATCACCAGCCTGCAAATCTCCTGCAGTGTGTCTGGCTTGCCGAGATTCCTGGTTGCTTCCTTTCTCCTAGCCAGAAGCCAGCTAGCGCTCCTTTAAACTCTACATAGGAGGTCACGGCCAGCTTCCCTCTCTCCCCAGCACGAAGGAGAGGCGTGTGTCCTTCCTGCCAGGCCCAGGGTAATGAAGAATAGACACCCTGATGCCCGGCCCCACTCCCGCCCGCAATCCAGCCAGGGCATTCTGGGTCTAGCTTCTCTGCCCAGGCTTCGGAGGGGTGTGTTCCTCCACTTTAGTTGTGCTGACCTCAGCATATGCTGGCAGGCCTGTGTGTTCAGCTCAAGCCCAGGCATGAGTTTGGTGTCCCCAGCTCACAAAAAGTGCAGAGGGACTTGGCAACGACCAAGGGTGTGTCAAGGAAAGCAATGACAAAGGCTGGCCATTGGCTTCATGTAGTCCTACACATGGGGAGGGAGAAAGTCACAGCTGGAAGGAGCTGGGGACACATCTGGAACCCCTGGAGCCAGCCAAGCCTCTGCTTTTTGTTTACCAGTGGATAGCTTAGCAGCTTCCAGAAGGAAAACCTTTGAGGGGAAATAACCTTCACACACAAGAGGAGGCAGCAACGTTTGACTGACAGCTCCTTCTCCAGTCTGCTCTGACACAAAAGAAATAAACCTGGCTTCAAGGCACAGAGAGTGTGAAGATAAAGCTTGGCCTTAGTCTCTGTGTCTGCGTGTGCACTCACATGTGCAAAGCCTTGCGGGCATGTGAGCGTGCACCATGGAAGAGAGGACTCCCTCAGCTCCAGGACTTCCTTAGGCAGGACTTGACCTAGCCTCTACTTAAGCTCAATACTTAAAATTCAACTCACTGAACAACTGTCCAGTGTTCTGGTTTATGTGCTGAGGACAAGAGGGTGACAGACAGTCCTTGCTGTCCAGAAGCTTCCAGGAACTGTAACTCAACAGGCTAAGCCAAGCCCACTGCATACATAGTGTGCTTACTAACTAGGAACACTGGCCAGAATATGGGCACAGCAGCAGTCCTCAGATTACCACACACAATGTGCATGAGACAGTAAAACAAAGACCCGCTTCTAATGTCACCCCAGCCTGAAGGAGTCAGGAGTTGGAGCTGAGGGTGGGGGTCCCGAGATGACACGGCAGAGCTGTGTGTACGGTATAACTTGTGTGTGTGTGCGTGCGTGCGTGCGTGTGTGTGTGTGTGTGTGTGTGTGTGTGTGTGTGTGTGTGTGTGTATGAGTGTGGAGGCCAGAGTTTGGGATGTTGTTCCTTAGCTGCCATCCATCTTGTATTTTATGACACAGGACCCCTCGCTGGCCTGGATCTTGCCAAGTAGGCTCGCTGGTTGGCCCCCAGCCCCAGGAATGCACCTGTCCTGGGATCTCCAGCACCGGGACTGGATCATCTGGCTGGGCTTTGTATTTCACTGCTCTTGCAGAGAATCCATTGTGAAGCACTGGAGGGCTTTGCCACCTCTCCAAGCAACAGCCTCAGCAGGATTGGAGAGAGTGGGGCTTGTGTTTGGGATTAGCTGCTGAATGAATTTCTGCTGACCATGTGGGGAAAGAGTCCTCTAGTTTCCAGAGCTTTCTGGGGTTTGAGTTTGCACGCTAAAGAACGGGAGGACTTGCTTTGCGTAGCCGGGTGGGATGCGGGTACAGGAAGTGGGCTGCTTTGCATACCCGGGTGGGATCTGGGCACAGGAAGTGGGTTGGCGGCAGCACACGGCAGGCTGGCTCTGGGACCAGTGCTCAGCCATGCAGCCCCGCAAAGGTTCCTCTGTGGGTGTGGGACGGGTGGAGGAGTGCTCTGCAGGACTCACAGATGCAAGGCTTGCAGTTGCACCCTGCATGCCCACCAGGACGTCTTCCTTTTCACAGACCACTGTTTCCACCCTGGGATCCAGTCACGCAGTTTAAAACAAGCCAGCCCTTTGGCTCCTTTTTGCTTTGTAGACACTGCTCCAGAAACTTGAATACCTGCAACCTCACTCACTGAGGGGCAACTCCTATTTATCCTTCAAAGGCCCTTTCCCTGGTATCCCTCTTGGCCTGTTCAACATGTTAGGAACACCTTCCAGTGGGCACCGATCAGGGTCCCACATGCCCTTTGGCTTTGGGGAGACGTGTATTAGGACAAAGGGATGTTCACGCTATGGGAACACAACTATTCCCTATGGTGATATCTTTCTTGAACAAATAAAACCTTTCTGTGGGGTCAGAGAATGGAGCTTGCCACTAGCTAGCCACAGAGGTCTGGAGGTCTGTGCAGACAGACAGGAAGTGATGAAACTGGGCAGAGAGTGCCACAGCTATTCCCAGCAAAGGCAGAGCTGTGGGTGCTATGGTTGAATGTGACATGCCCGTCCTTGTGAGCACTTGTCTCACACGGACTTTGAGTGGCTTTGGAATCTCTGGCTCCGACTGACTGGCTGTGTGACTCTGGCCACAGGCCTTAAGCGCTCCGTGTCTTGGTATCTCACGTGTAAAGTGGGAATAATCACATCCATCTTTTAGGAAGATTGTAAGGGTGAGATGAGATAGAGCATGTGAAGTGTTGACCAGGGCAGCTGGTGCACAGCATTCATTACATTAGTACCTTCATCACCAACATCATCACCACCAACACCATGGATACATGGATACGATTCAGGGACACAGTGACACAACTCAGGGACACAGGGGTACTCACAGGGACACAGGGACACTCACAGGGACACAGGGATGCTCACAGGGACACAGGGATACAGGGGCACAGGGATACTCACAGGGATGCTCACAGGGACACAAGGACACAGGGACACAGGGATGCTCACAGGGACACAAGGACACAGGGACACAGGGATGCTCACAGGGATGCTCACAGGGATGCTCACAGGGATGCTCACAGGGATGCTCACAGGGACACAGGGACACAGGGATACTCACAGGGACACAGGGATGCTCACAGGGACACAGGGACACAGGGACACAGGGATACTCACAGGGACACAGGGATGCTCACAGGGACACAGGGACACAGGGGTACTCATAGGGACACAGGGGTACTCATAGGGACACAGGGATGCTCACAGGGACACAGGGATACTCACAGGGACACAGGGATACTCACAGGGACACAGGGATACTCACAGGGATACTCACAGGGACACAGGGATGCTCACAGGGACACAGGGACACAGGGGTACTCATAGGGACACAGGGATATTCATAGGGACACAGGGATGCTCACAGGGACACAGGGATACTCACAGGGACACAGGGATACTCACAGGGACACAGGGATACTCACAGGGATACTCACAGGGACACAGGGGTGCTCACAGGGACATAGGGATACTCACAGGGACACAGGGACACAGGGATACAATACAGGGATACAGTATTTGTTGCAAAAGCATGAGGACCCCAGGTCCCTCATGATAAAGTGGGCGTGGTGGCACATATTGTCACTTCAGCCCTGCAGAAGTGGAGAAAAGTGCATTCCTGGGGTAGCCTACTTGGTGAATTCCAGGCTAGTGAAAGATCCTGTCTCAAAAAATAAGGTGGACAGCTCCTGAGGAATTACAGTGGAGTTGGTTGAGTTGTCCTCTGGCTTCTCCACTCATGCACGCTAGCCAATACACAAATCCCCCTGTACATGCACAGGTGTACACACACACACACACACACACACACACACACACACACACACAAATGACCTTAAATTTTCTGCAGGTAAGAAAATGCAAAAGCAAGGAAGTCACTCGGGTCTGCGAGTCTCATCCTCTGTTCATTGCTGAAGATACTTCAAAATGAGGGTTCATTTGTGTCCCCCTGAGGGGGCCTCCCAAGCAGGACAGGCAGATGCCCCTCCCCACTCAGAACCCTTCTTTGTCTCTGCAGTCAGAAGTACTTCCAGAAAAGCCCCAGCCTGTTTCCTTAGATAGTCTTTGAGACACTGGCTGTCTTATGCAGAGGTTATGCTGGGGGTGGGGGACACTTGATCATACCCAGAATCCCCAGCGCCAGGCCTGGCTTCTTTGATGGCTCTAAGGGTAGGTGTGGATGACTGGTTCACTTTCCTGACCCTAGGCATAGCCACAGCGCCCACACCCCCTTCCTTGTCTCCACCCAAAAACTCTTTTTTTTTCCCTGTGCAGATCTGAGAGGGATGTTTCAGGCAGGAAGTATCAGCTGTCACAGGAGTCGGGGGACATCTGTTACTGTGACACATTCTGAAACCTGGATGGTTTGACACAACAGAAGCATTCTCTGCCGGTCTGACGGCCAGAAGTTAGCAGTCATAGTGCCAGCACAGTTGGAATTCTTTTGGAGGCTACAAGAAAGGGTCTGGGCTGGCCCCTCTCCAGGGCTGATTTTGGGTGGCTAGGAGTTTGAGAATTCACCTAGTACCTCCTAATTCTAAGTGACCAGTGTAGAGCGAAAAAAGACTGAATTACATAGGAGTTGCCCTTGGCCTTTCTGGAGGGGATGCAGAATCTACAATTCATTAGTTCAGAGGATGACAGTGGGCTTGGGGGTGTGTCCCCTTCCTACAGAGGGGAGCGCATCTCAGGAAGAGGCTACAACTTTGCATACACAGCTGCTGAGGAGGCAGCTGCGCCTAGAATCCCAGCCTTTTTCCTCAAGTCCAGGCCTTTTCCACACATTTTTTCGACAGTTTGCATCTGAAGTGTCCCCTGAGGTGTGTGTGGAGAGGCTGTCACCTGCGAGGTACTGCAGGAAGACTGTGGAAATGAAGAGGCGACCGTGGTGAGCTGTCTCCTGGAAAGGACTAACAGACATAGAAAATGAGGACATGTCGTTTCTGCACTCCTGTGATGAAATGGATGGCTTCTCTCTGCCACTCGTCCCTGCCTTGCCAGGCCCAAATCAACGGGGGTCAATCGACCGTGGGTCAAAACCTCCAAACTAAATCTCCTCTCCCTAGGAGATGACCACTTCATGTACTGGCCACTCTTTCCCCTCCTCCAGGCCAGGGAGAAGGGTAGGGTGCAGCCTTGGGTGACAGGGATGAGGAGGGAGAGGAGGAGAGTGCAGAGAAGTGCCTGGCCCTGTGTGACACCAACGCACCACCCACCTAAGTCTCCACAAGCTTCTGTTCTAATTTTCAGAATAAGAAATTTCAGAAAGGTTAAGCAAGCTGTCCAAGGTCACAAAGCTACTAAGGGCACACCCCGCCCCCGCCACCACCTTTATTTTCTCTTGCCACCAAAGCCTTGGCCCTCACTCCAGGGCACTGACTCACTGACTACCCCTCCTACAGGAAATGTTTGAACCACTGACCCTGAAGTCCACTCAGCTGAGGGACATGACGGGCAGCTTGGCAAGCAGAGTGCAGCTGAGGCCAGACCTCCAGGGCTCTGGTGGCACTGCTGCTTCTGACAGAGCTGAAGGACTCGTGCTGTCACCATGCCCAGCAGAACTCTCATTTGCTGGGAGCCAGGATGGCTAAACCCATGGCATCCTTCCTGTTGTAACAAGACTGGATGTGCAGAGTCTGCACCCTGAGACCCCCATCCATTAGCTGATTAAAAGCCACAGATCAGCCTGCCTGGGACTTCTAGAGCCGTTATGAATAAGAGGTGTCAGGAAAGCTGCCCATGTAACCAATGTCCTCGAGATTGCCATGGTGACAGTCAATAAAACTTCGGAGTCTATCTTTCAGCCAGCCAGCTCTGCTTCCAGGCAATAAAATTTGGGATTGCCTTTGAAACAGTTTGTATTGAAATGAGCCAAGAGCACCATATCTCAGAGTTCCATGCCCTCAGATTAAATACAACCAAGCCTCCCATCAAAGAGGAGCTTGTTCAGGATTATCAAGAGACAGGATCAACAGGGTGGCCACACATGGTCCTAGAGACAGCCTGCACAGGTTGAAATCCAGGTCCTGCCTCCTCCTAGATGTTAACTTGGAGGAAGTTACACAACCTTTCTGGGATTTGGTTTCTTCATCTATAACATGGGGCTAGAGTGTGGTAAATGCTTCATTGGATGGTTTCCAGGACCAGACGTGTCAGTATAGAAGAGAAGGCCTGGTTCATACAAGTGCCTGATCATTGAACTAGTGAGGATTATCTGTGCACATGGCCTTCTTCTCCTTATGCCTCTCACCCGGACTCTTCGGCAGTTTTCTTCCATGCTGACTCTCTTGTGGTTTCTCTGACCAAGAGAATGCACTAACATGTGCCGAGCTCCAAACAACTGACCACTGAAGTCAGACCTCAGAAAAACCTGGTCCACTCCACTCCATTCCTGGTGCCCTAGAGGAGCCACTGGTCAGCTCCAGGAAGGAGATGGTGGAGGAGTCTGACCACCCTCTGAACACAGCACTGTCTGCTGGAACACCCAGTCCAGCAGGCACAGCTGACCCATGACTGACCTAGAAGGTGTGCACTGAAGGCCAGCTGGGACCAGCAGAGCCACCCAGCTATCCCCAACCTTAAAAAATAATCCATACATGCTTATTGCTTATACCTGTTTGAGTCTAAAAGGGGCTTGTCACATGGTAATACTTTACTAACCCAAGACAGACTGAATTCTGAAAACCATCG